ATAAGATTCCACAATTCTTGATTTGATACATTTTCTATCCTGAATGCATACATGATGATAGATTAACAACAATTTCAGATGAGTTCGTGATCGGACAGTTATGAGCACGGAAAGCTACGATTTGTGGATATAACAACAGTCTGTGAGGTATCCTTTCGAAATTTCATCGAATGCTCAAATTTTCACAACTCGTTTGGAAATTCGATTGGGGGTGTATTGACATTTAAGAACAAGCCAAATAAATTAATAAAATAATATTTTAATGAACAAATGGATAGTCATATTTTGGTAAAAGGAAGAAAAGATGGATATCCCTTTACTTGGTAATGGAAAATATATATTATTATCCATTTTCTTTGTAATGGAAAAGACATAACGGATATCAATTTCCTTTGTAATAAAAAAGATATAAGGATATCCATTACGAATATCCATTTCCTCGGTAATAACAAATATACGGATATCCATTTTCTTTGTAATAAAAAGAGAGGGATATGAATTTCCTTTGTAATATAAAATATATATGGATATCCATTACGAATATTCATTTCCTCGGTAATAGAAAAGATATACGATATCAATTCCCTTTGTAATAGAAAAGATATACGGATATCCATTTCCTTCGTAATGGAAAAGACATACGGATTTCCATTTACTCAATAAAAAATGCATGCTGATATCCATTTCCTTGCTAACCTACAAGAATGTTGCAGGATCACTGGTTAAATCTGCGACGCTAATTGTTCTAAATTTAAAACAGTTTCACTGCTATGGAACATACCAAATGGGCATATATTAGGTACAATGCTTTATTATATGACATAATATACTTTTAACGCCATGAAACTAAAACAGAACATCGAACATAATTAGGGATATGTTGTATAATCGTACATTTTCGTGGAGTAACTGCACAGATTCAGATCTGTCGTCTTGTAATGCGCCAGCAGATTCGGGTCAAAGTAATTTGTTGAGAACTGTCAATAGAACATAGAACATAGACCCTGATATGACCGCGTATTATGCGAGGGTCTATAGTCTTTGCAGTAGAGTTATACGCTTAGTAATGGCTTTAACTTACCATGGCCGGCTTCTCTTGGGTCAATCTTAACGTGGAAGTCTTTACCAACCTCCCCTCCTTGATTGATATCATCCGGCGATACATTGACCCGATTTGGGTACACTGGATTGTGCACATTGATCTTGAAGGGGCAGACCTTGAGGGGCCGATTGTCCCATTTGATGTCGAGGAGGTATGCTCCAGGGGTTGGGGGAACATAGGTACATTTGTATTGTTTTGGTCCAGTAGGTTCTATGTCCACTGGGATCACGTTTTTCACGCTTCGACAATCAGCTTCTGGTGCTCCTGTGGGAATGTATCATGAAGTTGACGTAACATTTAATGTTTTGTTATATTTTGGTTTGTATAATTTTCCTTAATTTTTTTATATCTCTTTTGTTTGCAAAGTCTTAAAAGGTAAACGATTCATAGTGTTCCATACAATAATTATAAAGTATAAGAAACTCTGACAATTAAAAAATTTAGAATACTTTTTTTGTGGAAGAAACAAAATTATAAAGCATTGTGGAGTAAGCAAGAACAACATTTATAGGACTAACTTTGCGGACTGTCTGAATATTGTGAGACATATTCGTACCAGAAATCTATTAATACAATATTAGCTAAACATGCGTATGTGTTAGATACAACCAAGAAAAGTAATGAGAAATCTATTTTCTATAAATTATGCGCTGTAGGGAAATTATGGAATTCTGACAAAACTAGAAAATGCGATTGCTTAAAAAGAGGTTTTTCAATTGAGAAACACTTGCAAGTAATTTCAAACTATATTAAATATTATAATCTTAATTTATCAGGGTACAAATGGTCAAGATAAAAGCAAAAATATAAACATCAATGATACAAAGTCTAAGAGAGTAGTACGTACTAAAATTTGTTTAGAAGGGCGAAATGTTTATACAAGATACATTCGAAAGCCTCGGTAGTCAACGTTGTTTGTTCTCTAGAATGGTTATCCAACTGTGAGATGGGTATAATAAATGAAGCAATTCAATATTTAAAGACGCTGAAGTATGTTTCATGAACAAATACACATATTTAACCAAAAACAATATTCCACACAAGACAAAAGACGAAACAATATTGGAGAAAGTCATCCACATTTTCCAAATAATAACTTTATCCATGAAATTTGTTACCTTGTGACTAAACAAAACAAAAGTGGAAAAAAGTGAAAGAGAGATATGGTTGGAATCCTTATATGACAAGACGTGCCTACTATTAAAAAAATATTGAAATTCCAGACTAGATTAAGGAAGTCTGTAAAGAATTGTAGTATCTTACCTGGTCCTGCGTTTCTACCGTCAATGTGGAAAATCGCCGGTTTATTTACTGTAGCTTCCCTCAGACCTTTGCCCTTGAGAATGACCTTGGGCGAGGGGCCAGTCTGAGATCTGGGAGGAGAGCTCTGCAATGGAGGTACATATTTGTAGGAAGAACCCCGCGAAGGAGGTGAAGAACTCATTGGGCTAGTTTCAAATCTATCTGTTGGAGAGGTACTTGGAAGCTTGACAACTGTAATTTCAGGTTCTGGGTAGGAGTTTGTGTAAGAATACACACTTCCACCATGTCTTGGAATGTGATCTCTTCTGCTTGATGGAAGTGAAGAGGCATTCGAACCATGACGGTATATACGAATTCTGTGAGGTTCAGAGTAGGTTGGGTAGTTGTACGCTACAGGTACATCAGTTTCTCTTGGTGTTGGAGAAAGACGGTACACACGAGTTGGTCCATTCTGAACAGGATCAGGTCTTAGATGGTGATCTCCGTGAAATGTAGTGTAAGGGTCACCATTGATTCTCACATATGGGGCTCCATCTGTAATAATATTAATTGGAGACTGCGTTCTCCTGGAGGGAGATATGGCTCTCATATGTAAAACTGGCTCTACAAGAGGCTCATGAGGGGGAGGGCCGTCCACAGCAAAACCAAGGTAAGGTGATTTTCTCAGAGGAAATCCAGACCACATGACTTCAATAAAGTGCTTTCCTGAAGGAAAAAAAATGAAATTTAAATTAGTGCATTTATGTGTATTTTGATTGCAAATAAAAATATTTGTTCAAAGATGACAGTAGTGAAGAAACTAATCAGAATTACATAGAAAAAATAATTATGATCAGTAATAATAGTAGTAATAGCAGTACCAGTAGTAGTAGTAGTAGTAGTAGTAGTAGTAGTAGTAGTAGTAGTAGTAGTAGTAGTAGTATAAGGATACGATAGGATTTCTGGACCATTCATTTACCTTAAAAGCAAAAACAACCTAGTGTTACAAGACAACTAATTTATATAAATCAGATAATTCCAGAGTCCCCGGACCACAATCTAATTTCTTCAATGTGCATTGAATACGGGCAAACAATAAGTACAGAGTACATAACAATCGTGAACAGTTTATTAAATTGCATCGCATATTTCGTATTTTATGTTTGTTAATATCGTAAATATTAATTGCGCAAGAACCAACAGTGACTATAATAAAAATGCAAATCCTTTTATGTAGAATTTACCAAAGGTCACTAAGTTTGCATAACGGTCACACCGATATATTTATTCCGGCACTGTTTTATGCAATTATATCAGAACTTTACCATCATTATCATAATACGTAAAAGAGTACTTACGGTGCGAATATATTACAATATAGTCAGGCTGACAGTAAATAGCTGATTGCACAAATGGCACTGCCTTTGAAATGCCAAGGTCACGCTTGCTTGAAGGTAACACAAAGCACAAAACGGTATGCGTCTATTGACAATTGAGTCCAAAGGGGATATCACGTTATAATTAAGCAAGATTGGTAGAGAAGATATTGAATAAATTGTATTACAAAAACAAGAAGTTTGAAATTTTGTTCGCGCAAAACAGATTTTCTACATACGTTGAAAACCATATCAACATTTCAAAAAGTCCACAAAGAACATATATGAAATATATACACGATAAAATAACTCTTAATAGGTTTGAAACAAGAGATGATAATAAAAAATAAACAAAATAGATAATACTGATACTGTACAGGCAACGTGATAGAGTCTATATTATACGAGAAACGTGTAATAAGAAAGAGACACGCAAACATTGCAAATAAAATTTATCGTAAGCCAAACATATAAAGAAGCGCAACAGTCTCTCGTGTGTATGCAATAAGGAAACAATGAAACTCTGATTGCGGAGTGTAGAAAGAAAGGAATTAAATGGTAAATGCACACACACACACACACACACACACAATAGTGATATGACTACGGTGTACACAACACTATAGCAGTGTAGTAAATTGCATTATGGAAGCAATTAAAACAGATGAAACGAAACAAATATGAAAGTGAAAATCAAATATAATGTAAAAGAATACAGGTTGGTCTATGAGATGTTTAATCATATGAGAAATAATTAAAATCACATAAATTTATAATAAAATAGAACAATGTTAATAGACCACATGCTAGTGTGTTAGATGTTTATAGGCATGAGAGGTAACGAAAATCTCGTAAATGTTAATACTGTCTTGGGGACATTTAAACTTTTTTCAACTTTTTGGCAGAGTAGTTAAAGCAGTTAAATTCGCGCAGCCACGCATTTTTTTTTTTCAGAAACGTTGTTTACCTTGTACAATTCTGACATAAACATATTTTTTATCTTAAAAGTTAAGCAAAGATGTAGTAGCATTAATTAATATGGGTGAAGTTTCTACAGTACATGTTTAAATGTGTGTGTGATTCGAATTTTTTAAGTAGCTTTAACAATTTTTCAGTCATATCACTACAATTCTGTAATGTGGCAGTTTGTGGTGATGTCGCAGAGATGTAGCTTCATGTCCCACCCAGCCACATTATCCTGACATCAAGCCGAACACTAACCTCTTAATTAGGAACGCCAAGCGAGGCAGATGATAGCACAATTTTGTAAATCATTGGTATGACTCGGTCGACGTTTGAACCCACGACCTCCCGAATCTGAGGCGGACGCTCCAACCACTAAGGCCACCGGAGAAGTCACATTTTTAATTCCTGGATAAACAGTTTACAGATTTTATAGATATGATTGTTCCTATGAATGGCGTATCTGAGCATGTGTCACACGAGCATACACCTGTACGGATTACAAATGCTTGTGTGTGTCGTCTTCATTTGAAGATCAGACGTTTCCTATAGTAAAATCGGCACACGTTTTTGGAGTTTAACGATTTTTCAAATATATCGCTACAATACGTCATGTCTACCTTCGGATGAGACTCCGTCGTCCTCGTTCTTCGCGACATCTCAGCACAAATTTTGAACTATGTATCGTGTTTCTTCTTCAGAAATTGAATTCGACATCTAGCAGTATTTGAAATTAATGAGGTTATGTGGGATTCATTTAAGTGTATATATATACACATTTATATATATATATATATATATATATATATATATATATATATATATATATATATATATATATATATGCTCTCGGTAACTATTCGTGACATTTAGTGTTGCTTTTAGTACAATAACGTCTGCGTTTAGCAAATGACAGTAAGTTAGTGATGTTTTATAACAGGAAGTTAGTTAAAAATAGTCGCTTCTTACACAACTATCATTTCAAGTTGGCAACATTTTGCAACATTCAGTTACAATTAACGACATTTCTCAATGCTTAAATAGTTATTTAGTATGCTTGAGTCATTTCCTTATTGTCCTCACTTCAATTTCATCATTCCATTTAGAACGCGCAAGCCATATGATTATTGCCCTCACTTAGCAAAGGTACACTCCAGGTTTATCATTCCATTTAGAATGCTTAAGCCATTTCATTATTGCCCTCACTTAGAAAATGTACACAGTTTTATCATTCCATTTAGTTTACGTAATAGAAACTTTTTGGCATTTCATGAAGGCTATCTATAGACATGTTATTTTTTTATTGTTTACATGTCTTTATAGTTTAATATGTTTTACATATACAACCTATGTGTTCTATTTCTTTTATGTCAGCCGCACAATGAAATTTTATTTATTTATTTATTTATTTATTTATTTATTTATTTATTTATTTATTTATTTACGTATTCATTGTCATGTCTTGTCAAAACCCTATATGAGATTGTGCTTATTGTGAAGTATATATTTGGGCTGATTTTTATGTGACGTACTTTAGATATAGGGGTGTTTCCTAAATTTATATAGAAAATCTTTATTCATGACTAAGATTCAAATTGCAAATGTCTCGATGTGAAATACAATGCTTAGAGAGTTTGTGCTACCGTACTTGTTTAATATTAATATGAAATTCCCTGCTGACAAATAAAAACAATAAATATTTTAATATTTAACGTTGTACTTTGCATCTTCTTTAGAGAAGAATGACTTTGACGTTGACATGCCATAGGAAATACTGTTTATCAAGTTCTGATCACTATCCATCTGTCTGTCCTATAATATCTCTGTACTGTTAAAAACCACATTCATTCATTCATTCATTCATTCATTCATTCATTCATTCATTCATTCATTCATTCATTCGTTCGTTCGTTCGTTCGTTCGTTCGTTCGGTCGTTCATTCCATCCATACATACGTCCATCATTCAGTCTAGAAGTACGATACATTTTTACATTTACAGTATATTCAAGTTACGACAATATATGAAAATAATATATAACTATTATGCTGGTCACACAGCGATGCGCCATTTATGGATTTTTTAAGTTGCCCAGCATACTGTATGTCTTAAATTGTTTGTACTCTGTTCAATACACAATGAAGCAATTATTATGTGGTCAAGGGATTATAAGGTGTCTGTTAATGCAACATAAAGGAGTCTGTGGACAAGAGGGTTGTTTTATAAAGAAAGGGTGCTCCAGAAATGAATTTATATCTATATACGAGGTTTAAATATCAAACTTTTATTTTTCTTAAGTGGAGCAACACTTTTAATTGCTGCGATACGTATGATCTGCAATAAGTATGACATGAACTTGAATGAATTATACTCACAAAGATACAAAATATGCATTTGTATATATTTTGGAAATACTCTTTTTATCTTCTGTTGCAAAAGTTGTTTTGCAGAAGAAGGTAGATGAATCCTTTATAGGCTCTACATTAGAAAAAGGTGCGTATATATATATATATATATATATATATATATATATATATATATATATATATATATATATATATATATATATATATATATATATATATATATATAGAGAGAGAGAGAGAGAGAGAGAGAGAGAGAGAGAGTTGTATATACAATATGTTTCAGGATACTTGTACTCATTTAAAATGCGTGTGTGCATATCAAACTGACGAGAGCAACTTTCACTTACCTTCTTCTTTAGGAACAAATATTAGCGTATGTTTCCCATCACCCGAAGAATCAACAGTTACTGGAACTTTATCACTTTTTCCACGTATATTGGCCGTTAGTTCACCTATAACAATATAACAACACGGAAAACATCATATCATGCTAACATATACGCATTTCGAAGAACTAGAAGCTCCGTTTGTTTTTCTTCTCATGTAGTATAATATTTAAAAAGTTACAAATATTTATACAAAACAATAAAAGGAAACTGCAAAGCCGAGGACTACATTTCGGCATTATCGGGCTCTTTCAGTATCACTATGCAGAATATATAATTATTAAAAGCTTGTATGGAACAACATATTTATTTCGCCCAGAAATTTTGTATAAAAATGTATAAAAATTTTGTATGTATAGAAATTTTGTTTGTATAAAAATGAATTTTTATTTTATAAGGTGTCAAATAATTGCCAAGAAAATTCCAACAAATGGTAGGCAAATATGTTGGAAAATATAACAAATAGTGACAAAATGCATTTAAAAAAAATAACTACGTTTCCAAATAAATTGGCTAAAACTGTTATTTCCGCAAGTTATACACAAAAAGAGTTTGATATCACACGAAATACCAAGCGGGGGCAGTCTGGTTTTATTTGAAGCAATTTCATAGAATCTGTTTTTCAAAGTGGAAGGGTTTGACGATTCTCAGCAATTAATCATTGATAAGTGTCGAGTGGAGAATCATACCTGGTCCAGCCTGCGTGGCATCAAAAGTTATATGTTTTTCGTGCCCTACATATAAAGGTATCCTTCCCTGGTCATCCTCGTACTTCTTCCAGTCACTTGGCAGTTGAACTGTATCTGGATCCACAATTTTGGGGTGGTATGGACTACCTAGTGCAAGCAGAAATACTAATGACAACAATAGTGTCGACGACAAAGATTGTGGCATGAAAAGAAAACGAAAAGAGGATCGAGTAAAAGATACATAATTTTTGTAAGCCCCGAATGTGCTGACAGCGTAAAATATATCGGTTGCTATGGATACTTAACAGACACTTGATGAAAAAGAAAAGGAATTTGGTTTGAATAGTTTAGCCCAACTGAGATCGAATTGGTCAGCTATTTTATAGACGTTTATAAGAGGTTTTAAAGGCTTATGCTTAAAAGCAAAGAAGGTTCTTGATAAATGATATTTAGTACTTGTATCAAAATATTTCATATTACCAGTGATGTCTTTTCCATTCAACTTGATGTGCACCCTGTGTATTCCAACTTCTTCTGGAATATATGTCACCGAATGTGTCTTGTCCGCTTCTTCTGTGATAGTCGTATTCAATTGATAATGTGGACCTGTCAAGAAACAAACGGCCTACGCTCAATATACTTTATCCTTTTGTTCAATTATTGATGTCATTAACTTCAGTCTTTAATATTTTAATCATGGTCAACATTGTGCAAATTAACAAATTTTAATCAATCTTCTCTTGAAGCTTTTCTTGACTTAAATATATATCAGTTCCTTTTAATCAGATATTCGGAATCCACCCGCGGAACGTATTTTTTTCAAAAATTAAACCTAAAAGTTTATTGTCACATGAATTTGAAAATCAAGTAAGCAACATAAGACAAAGAGATCATTGCAAAGTACGTACCTAGTGTGCATGTCCGCTGAATTGTGTTCAGAGGGTTCATTATCTTACAGGCAAGTTTACACTTAAATTAAAAACATATCAGATTTTTTTCTATTGTTGAAAGTTAGGAAAATGGTAATAAATGCACAAAACTACACGTTTTGCTCTGAGCAGGCGGAAATAACGAGTTTCATACGGTGTTGGGATATGCCGAAGTTGTCAGTCGGAGAAGTGTATTCATATGCCACATCAAACGAGTTCTTTCCTCCGATTCAGTATAAAACAATAATGCAGCTTTGTATGTATTACATATCCCAATGTACGCTTTTGAAACAGTTTCAGCTTTATTGAATGAACAAAATTCAAACTGACATAGAGTTTATAAATGTTAACTGACTGAAAAGTATTAAAGTCGCGTAAAAGCAAACTATGTTCTTTTGAGACTGTTGAAGGCCCGCTGCCCTGGCATCTTAATTGATGGGTGTTGTAGCAATGGAGCCGCTATAACTCCACTTTTATGAGCGAAGTCGCACTATTTAATTAGTCAGGGGAGGGAGAGGAGGAAAGGGAACCGAGTACTGTTTTACAGCCTCGCTTTCACTAGCTAGTTCTTTGTAGTTAATATGTATAGTGCAGTCCGTCTGTATTTCCACGCTTTTGTTGTTCAAAGGCTGTTCCTTCGTCAGGGTTGAAACGGTTGTTGACTAATCGGTGTAGGCTCATTTAACGCAGTAGCAGAGTGCTCAATCTTATTTAATAAAGCAGCTTTTCTCCACTCAATGCGTTTGTTTTTTGTTAACGTTCCTTCTCCGTTCTCCATTGTCCGTGTAGTCCGCTGTGTCTATGGTTGCCTTCATTGTTGTACCATACTAATGATAAAGTTATTCGTGTAAATCCAGCTCTCAGACTCCATTTATCTTCTAGTGCCTGACCTAGGGCTTTAATAGCCCTTAGTGCTAGAGGTGGTATGACAGCACTGGCTAGCAAAAGGAGCGTCAGGCAGGTGCTGTTACTTGATTCCATGATGAATGATCGACTAATCCTGACTGACTGACTGACAATCATTAA